AAAAAAAAAAAAAAAAAAAAAAAAAAAAAAAAAAAAAAAAAAAAAAAAAAGAGAATCTAAATTTCCCAAAAATCACAGTAGTGCAATTCCTCCAGAACTCTAACAATTCACCAATCACCTCCTCCCCTCAGCCCATTGAAAATGATAGTATCAACCCCAGAAATCCAACATGCTCTGCCCCCTTTATATATATCTACACATATTTTACAATTCTAGATGACGTACCTCGATGTATTCTTGCCCATTTTCATTGTAAACATATTTCAGCTCATCAGCATCCACAGCTTCTCGACCACATGCTCCAATGCCCAGAGCATAGAGTGCAACATCTCTGTCAATAAACAGAAAGAAGTACACTAATTGACAGAAACGGTAACCTCCCTCAAAGAACAGTTGAATGCCTAAGCTCAGTATATGAGGATTTACCTCTCTGTATAGGTGGATGTTGTCTACAGAAAAAGTAAATTAGAACAAATCAGTCTCTACACGTCTAATGAAAAAGAAAATCAAAACTTCATGTGAACATTAGTGAATTTTCTTCTCCAGCCAATAGATATAGAACGATAGCCTCAACTATTGACATATTAGAAACTAAATTTGGCAAAAAAAAAGATGTATGCACGGAGCTGATTAACCCAGGCTTTAAAATAAAACATCTACAAATTTATGATTCCTTCAGAACTTGATAAATATTCCATCTTATGTCAACATCCAAAAGCTAATGTCCGATAAAGGTGAAAGCATACAACATTATCAAGGAGTTGAAGAAAAAAAATTATGCATTCATGATGAAGCAATAACCTTTTCAAACCATTCAACGTTTTACAAGAAATAAAATCAAAACCAATTATCTTAATGCAGCATATGCTTAGACCACATTTGATGCAATTCACTTAAAATTAACGATTCTTTCATGTTTGATTATGTGTCAAACATGGACAGATTATCCAAAAAAAATGTGTCTACATGTCATAGAGAAGGAGAAAGCCACATTGTTAAAAGGGGCTTCGCAGTAAAGCCAAGGTTGACTATCTAACCAGCCTGCATATCCACTCACAAAGGAGAAAAGGATTCAAAAGGCACTGGCCACCAAGAGCTCACCCCTGCACTCTTCAATATGAAATTTTCTCCAAGAAAGTTGTCCGCATCATGCACATGCACAGACCCTTCTGTCTTCAGTAAGATTCTTTCTATAATGGTTTAGAAACATGTTTTCAAGTCTAACATATCTTAATATGATAAAGGACCATATGTCTGTTCTATGCATATGAGAATCGCTGCAGTGTGCTTTCAGACAGGAAAGACTCTAATCTTGGGACTATTAAGGAATTTTCCTAAGTGAATCAACTAAGTTTGAAATAAGAAAACCGTGTAAGGCCGAAAAAGTTCTCAATTAAATGCTATGACATATTCCTAATGTTATGAGCCTTCAACAACTTGCTAATAATATGGTAAGAAGCAGGGCAGGGTGTGCCTTATATGCCTAATTTCCCATCACTGGCCTTTTGAGGAAATTACACCAACAACAATGAACCTATCCAGTTAATTAATAGTTGAGTAGTTGAGTTCTTTCAAGTTGACACATTACAGAGAAGAATCAATTGACAAGATGTCTTCCAATATGATATGTAAAAAACCTAGATAACTGTGGTTAGTTATGAATGAATATGATATGTAAGAAACATCGACACTGACGTTCCCTTAAATAGTTGTCATTACGAGGTCTCCCAGAGAGCAAAGATCAAAATTCAAAAACGAAATCGAAATCAATGACAAACCTAAACAGGCCGAGAGCCATGAGATCCCCAATTCCTTACCTTTCATCCCAATTCTTCGGGTTCATACTTCGTTTTATCTTAATGAAAGGTAGTTCGATGACAAAAATACGAGAAGAGTAAAACCAAGCGAAATTTGTGAGTGAGAGCGTAGCTTGAACACAAGAAGGTGAGTGAATCGATATTCCATACCTCAGGAAATTTGTGAGCAAGAATACGATCAGGATTAAAGCCCGATGGATTACCCGCCATGAGAACGATGCGAAAAAGAGCGATGGAAACTGAAAGCGGGAAATCAGTTTACAGATTCAATACTGAAACAATCAATCCACTCCGAATTCGCACAGGATAAGGCCTCTCAATAAGAACACGCAATGGCATAACGACGTGCCCATACAGGCAAAGTCAGAGATTGTTGCTGACCTCCGCGCGCAAGCGCAATGGATAATTTCTCGTGTTGGTGTTGGGTTCAAGTTTTACCCATTTCAATAATAAAAAAAATTAAAAATAAACAAATATATATATATCTAAAATATCTTTAAATTTTGCAATTTTAACTCAAAACTACACTAATTTTTAATATATTTATATACTCATTCCAAAAAGATTTAGAGCTGAGTTGAGATTTACATTGAGAGCATTTGGAGATGAATTTATATGAAACGAGTTTTTAGTCGAGCATCTTTCTTTCGTCCTTAGACGCTCAAACATTTTGTATGATTCCGACACTTGCATTCTCATGCCTAGAACCTTTGTAACTGACAGGAAAAAAAAAAGCTTAAACTAGAAAGATGGATTGTTATCCCATTGAAAATCGATAGGAATTCTCCACCGATTTTCTTACCTATGGGCTTAGTATATAAAACTTTAATCTCACAAAATGATCAACCCAACAAAATTCAAATAACACAAACATTAGAAATAATATCGTACATTTAGCCTTTATCCTAACTACGAACTCGTAACCATAAGAATAATTATTAACTAAAAAAATCACTGCAAGAACAAAGAAGGAAACTCAATGAAACGCTATGATAAGAAAGAAAAATTATGAATGCCCTCGAGCTGAGGATTTTTTTTTTTTTTTTTTTTTTTCTTTCTGAAATATCCTTCCCAGAAGAACTAAATATGATATGATGCGACATGACAAAACATTTGATTGTGTTGAGCTCAGAGGATAGAGCCTAGAGTGGCCTGGTTCGTCTCCCAGTGGCTCTTCCACAGAGCAGAGCATTCTTTGGAATTGGGTACTCGTCTCTCAATGAAGTCGATGGCGTGTAAACTCTCAAGTAAAATTGTTGACCCAGGTACTGCCTTGCCCAGAATTCCGACCTTAAATTCCACATTCCCACGTTGTCCAGCGCTACATATATTGCAGTCCATGACTTCGGATACACCTGCCATGAACAACAGCTTCATCTTTCTTCCTCATGCTTCACAAATGGTTATAAAATAAATGAAAACTAGAGCTTGGTTCTACCTGAGTGGTACAACGTGCAATTGCGTCTCGTAGATTGTATTGGTTTCTGCTATTGGATGTCCATTGCCCTCCATCCATACTGAATTTTTAAAGAAAAATCAGCATAAAGCCCAGAGAAATCAGGAAGTTTTAATGTATAGTTTCATTACCCAACAACGAAGAAGGAGTAGCCATCGAGGTGCCAGCTCTGGATGAGGTCTTCGTTGTTCTGGAAGACGATTTCGACGAAAGCTCTGTAATCAGCGCCCATTACAGAGGTGTCTTCGTAGATTCCTGCACCGTTTGGCCAGTCAGAAATACTTCCGACCCGGAAAACTCCTCCTATTTTGAAGAAGTCGGCAACCTTCAGGGGAGTGTCTGCAGGGATAAATGACACGCTGTTGACGGCGTATCTTTGCTTCCCGTTGACAAGCCCGGCTGAGTTCGACAGTACAATGGTTTTGGTCGTGTTGATGAGACCATAGTGATAAGAGCCTTGTGGGTTCGGCCGAGGCCCACTGGCTGTAAGGTTGGTTCTGCATTTGTATGGAAAATTTTGAGACTATTGGAGTAAAAGCATTCATAATCCATTAACTTAAAGCCTAGAGTTCCATTATTAGCGAGACTGATAGAGAGGTTACCTGATGGCTCGAGCTTGGTTAAGGGACCAATCAATTTGGATAGTTGGGCCACCGGGAGGTGGGCCTTGGACGGAGCCGGCGGAGTTGGCATAACGGAGAATAGTGGTGGTGGTGAGGATGGGAGTGGTGAAGCGAGAAGAAACGACAATGTAAAAGTCCTGAGCGGGCTGATCGGCGGTGACAAGAACGGAATAAGATTGGCCGACGTGAATGTCAAGGGAAGAGAATTCTGTTTGGAGGGAGTGGGTTCCTTCAACTTCGACCACCTTCAACCTGTGGCCTTGAATTCGGAAGTTGAGAGAGCTTTGGAGCCCCACATTTGAGATCCTCAACCTGTAAGTTTTTCCTAACAAAACACATATACGCAACCAATGATGAGAGCTGCTTTTGTCTAAAATGTAAATTTAAGCCTACCAGATACTCTTATATTTAGACTTTTTGTTTTGAGCTTGGGATCTACTGGGGTTTACACCATTTATTATCTGTGTCTACTATTTAGGTAGAATACCCTTACCCATTCTTACTAAGAAACTGAAAGAAACGGAGGGAACTAAACAGGAACAAGAGGGATCCATCGAAGAAGATACTTCTCCTTCCCTTTTTTGGAAGAAAAGGAGGATCCGGACAAAATGATGAAACGGAAGAGATCCGAGTGAATGGAAAAGAAAAAACAAATGATGAATTCCACTTTAAAAGGACACGCTATCAAAAGATAAAAATACCTGTTTATGAAACTTCTTACCCTCTCGATGGAAATAAAGAAAATTACAAAATGCGGTTAGAAAAAAACAAAATAAGTTTATAAATGTTATTCATAAAAAACCACTCGAAATAAGGTATTTTCATAGCCTCCCTGAATAATTTAGAGCTTGATTTTTTCTGAATAGCATTGTTTTTAAAGACGAAACAGAGCTGGGCGTCACTCAATAACTTTTTCACTAAAAGTAGAATTACGTAGAGCTTTCTTAATTACCTTGTTCCACGTTGAAAGGGGCAGTTCTGTTGGGTCCACGACCATTGATGAGGATTCCGTCAGGGAGTGGAAGCATTGAGCCATTGTCTAGTTGGGCCCTCAACGTCTGCAAAACAAATCTTATAGTTTAAAATGGCTAAACTTCAGGGGAAAAGAATAATTCCTTACTATAATGCTTTAATCTATATTTAGGTATGCAGAAGATTCTCTTTCTACATTCAAGATAACCCGCATAAGTTTCTTGTTTACTTGAGATGGAGTCACTATCTCAAGAACAGATAGATAGATGTTTGTAGTTTCTCACCTTTCCAATCCAAGCAGATACCTAATGGTCCGTCCTTCTTACTAAAAGTGGGTAATGAGCAAAAGGAGAAAATGAGACACTTTTGTGTTCACTTCGTTGTCAAGTGAACTATTTCAAGGAAGGGAGTTGGCGAGATTCATGTATAGAAGGGACTTATTATAAGACAAAACCAAACAACCAGACAAAAAAGATAGATTAGATGTGACCTTACAAGATTATTATGAGTTTCAACAAAAATTTGAAACTCACAAGAGAAGTTTATCAAAAAAAACTTAAAAAAGAAAATATCCGCTAGCTGTCGCTTAAACTGTTATAAATAGTATCAGAACCCGTTTAAACATTTTAAAATCTAAAAAATATAATATCTAATAGAAAATCTTTTCTAACCATGGGAGTAGGAGAGGGTTAAATTAATGAGGGGATCCGAAGTTGGAGGAAAGCGCGTCTGGGGGAGCCTGGGATTGGGCGCCTAAACTGAGACGTAAGGGCGCTTTCGTTGGCTGGATTGGATACAGCCCAACCATACAAAAAGCTCCTTTCAAGAAAGAATAATAATAATAATAATATAAAGGGCCTTTCATCAAATAGACGCACATGCCAAGAAACCAATTAAATTCAGCTTATGATTATCACACCGAGGGGCAGCCATGGCCCGCAACATGAACAACCATTAAAGAAAGAAAGTACCCTTTAAATAATCCAGCTGTTAATCTCTGTAGAGAGAGAGAGAGAGAGACTAGAGAGAGAAGCAAAAAGGTCTTGAAGAGTCAAATATTACGGATCAGACAGTCGTCGAACTCAACAACGGTCGGTCTACCGACAGAGGTAAAATAAATAATAATAATAATAATAATAATAATAAAGGTTAAATTATATAAAATATAATTCATATTTGTCACTTGTTTAATAAATAATTTTTTTCTTTCACCATTTGCAATAATATTATTTAATTTCTTATTTTTTTATATTAAAAAACTCGTTATATTAAATTAAAAATATAATATATTCCATTATAGTTCTTTCAAATTAATTTGTCCAATATTGAAAAAAATTCTCATATCATTAATATTTAATATTATAACTTTCTAAAAAAATATACAGCCATTTTTTGAAAAAAGAAACCAAGTCTCAGAAAATTATTTATAATTTAGAAAAAAATTAAAAAAAGTCTAATAAAGAGGTGATTCCCTATTCCCCGCCAATCTGGTTCGTCCCGTGACTAATATTCAAGATTCTTTCACCTTTTCGACTAGCCAGAGATTAATTTTGAAACTAATCAGATCGATAAAAGTTCAATGTTGGAATCTCTAGAAGAATTGCTGAAGTTTGAAAAGATGTGGAAGGAAAAGGGATAGTCAGTGATTAATTACCGTATGATTAGCTTGGTACCAGTCACCGACGAGGACTGTGTAATCGCCCGCGGGATCAGGGAAGGGAACGGGAATCCGGGGGCGACTGAGAATTCTTATCCCACCAAAACCACCGGCGGCCTTGTGGAAGCCGAGGGAAGGGAAGTAATAGAAGCTTCCGATCTGATCTTTCATTTGGAGAATGTAGGTGAAGTTTTTCCCTGGAGGAATAGGGCATGTTGTTCCGTACACTCCGTCCTCGTATGAGTTCCTCCTCTGTTGAATCCCATTCCTAATTTCACAGTTCACAACAACACAAATTTTCAGATAATTAAACTTCCAATTTAGACCAGATTAATTAATGATAACTCGCAGGCATCGTCTCGAAAAAGCTTCTTCAACAAGTTAACAGTTATACCAGATCCAACCCCTAAATTTAGCGATTGAAAACATAAAGAGAGAGTACGTAATCAATGTCGAAAATTTTTCCAAATTAGCTTCATAAATTTTATATTTCTTCTTAAGATTTCAATTCCATTTCCGACAGAGAGCGAGGAACAGAAGAATTACCAGGAGAGGAGAAATGGCTCGTCCAAGCTATTGTAGACATTGATAATGATATTATCGTTGGTAACAGAGTGAATATCAGGGCCAGGAAATTGGCCATTAATCAGAATGCCCTAAAAAACAGAGCAAATTCAGATCCATTGTAAACTGAACGAATCAACGAAATTCAACCGAAAACCTA